ACTGATGATAAAACAAGGGAAGTATATTTAGTACCCGAAGATAATGATTTGGCAGAAATATTTTTCCAGTTGATAAATATTGGATATGAACCCAGAATTAAATACACAGGTATTATTGATGAAATTAGAGTCAAATTTAACAAGATAACATATATCATAAAGACTCAAAATTTAATTAAATCATCCAGCGATGGTTGGATCGCAGCAAATAATGAAACTATGTACAACAATATGAATAAAGCAATGTTTAATTTTAATAAATCTTTATTTATTTTATCTCACAAATCTTTTTATAATGACATTGATATAAAAATATTAAACGAAACAAGGACTGTAGCACCTTCGGGATTATTATGGGATAAATTTAATTTAATGTGTAAAACTGAAATCGATGAAAATAAGGCATTTACAAAAGGTTTCATAGATATTACTGAAATACCAGTTTTTAATCAGTTTGACAATTGGAAAGAATACAATGATGCAATTAATATTGATGAACTCCACGATCTAACATTATATTATATTGAAGTTAACTATCCGAATATACCAAATAAATACAGTATGGAAGGTATTAAACGTAACCATCTTTTGGAGGAAAGTTTAAAATTTAAATCAAAAGAAGAAGTTGAATTCATAATGACAAAAACGTTACTGGGGAATAAAGAGGGCTTAATGTTTAATAAAAAATATAATTTAGTTTATGGTAAGTTTTTAATAAAGTTTATTAATCAATATAATATTAAAGTATTATATTATAAACAACCTCCGTTTATTCATAAAACAAACTATAAGGATATGGTTAATGAACTTTGGAAAACTACTATAGATGAAGATGATAAAAATGATGATATACTAAGTAAAAAATTAATAGGAAATGTCAATTTTGGATTATTAGAGAAGGGAGAGGCTACCGCGCATCAAAGCATTTTGTTTAAGAGTATTGATGAAGCAATCCATTATCAAACAGAATACGGAGGCAAAATTCATAAGTTATCACAGATAGAAGGCAAAATTCATAGGTTATCACATATAGGTACAGAAGACAAAGAGTGTGAAGAGGAGTATGAAGAAGAGTATAAATATGAAATAGATAGAGAAAATATAAAAGCATCATATTATATATTAAAATTAAAGGATAAAGCAGTATTAAGAAACGGCTATAGATATATTAAAGAACTACTCATGCAACATCATAATTTTAAAATGAACCAAGACATTCACAAATTAATAATCAACGATATTAATGTATATAGTGTGAAAACCGATGCTTTTGTAATTGATTCATACAATGTAGAGAAAGCAAAGCAATTATTAGAATTTCATAATGATATAGGAGGTTGGAAAGTTTCTGGGCGAGACAATGAAATTAATCTTCCTACTGTAAAATATGAAGTTGTTAAGAATGATCTAATAAAAATACCAGTTCATGAAAGTAAAACTATTGATATTAAAGATGAATACGACACTGATAACATTATAGAGATTGTTAAACAGAATAACCCTATTATGATCAGGGGCGAACTACCGGGCACAGGAAAATCATATATATGTCAAAAAATGGTTGATAAAAAATATAAGGTAATATTTATTTGTCCTACTAATAAATTATTACAGGCATTCGAAGGTGAAACAATGACTATAAATAAGTTTTTTGGAATAAACTACGGCGATGCAAAATTAGAACCATTTTGATTTTACAGAATTTGATGTAATCGTATTTGATGAAATTTATTTCAGTAATTTAAATATATATTGGAGAATAAAACAATTTGTAGAGCAGAATAAACACAACAAAATTATAATAGCAACGGGAGACACCAAGCAATTAAAACCAGTTCAAGAGATAACAAATACTCGAGACTATGAATTATATACTGATAATATTATAGATAACATTTTTGAATATAATATTTTGTTAAAAGAATGTAAGAGACTTAACACACAGGAAGATAAGGATAAACTAAGAAATATTAAATTTGATATTTTTGAAAATAAATTACCTGTTATGAAAGTCATTGAAAAATATTTCGAATATACAACTGACATAAGCAATTCTAACAACAACATAGCATTTTTAAATACAACTTGTAAAAATGTCTCAAATGAAATTAGAAAATTAGAAAATAGAAAAGATGAATACGAAGTAGGCGAATTTTTAACATGTAGGGAATATACTAAAACTAAAACATCAGTGTTTAATGTAAATTTCAAGTATAAAATAGTTCATATTGGAAGCGATGGAATATTTACATTAAAGAATGTCAAAACCGAAATTTTACAAGCAGTAGAAGTTGCTAAAATAAGAAGCAATTTTATATTTGCATATTGCTCAACTTGTCATTCTGCCCAAGGCAGTAGCATTGATGATGCCATAACAATTTTTGATTATAACCATTAGTAAAGAATTATCCAGAATGGATATGGACTGCAATTACAAGGTGTAGAGATTTAAACAAAGTTAAATTTTATAAATATACAAAAGGTATTGATGATGTATTTAATCAAAAATGCATTTTAAGTTATTTTGAAAGAAAAATATTAAACTACAAGGAACAGGACAGGAAAGCAAAAAGAACCATACCTAAAGAAGGTTATGTAAATGCACAGTGGTTTTTAGACAATATAAATAATCAATGCAATTACTGCGGATGCGGTTTTTCTATGGACATGAAAAATGGTAATATAATGACAAATCTGACAGCGCAACGTAAATCAAACGAGTTGTCGCACGAACTGAATAATATTATTCCTTACTGTGTTAGGTGCAATTGTAGTTGTAAATGATAAATACCGTGAGAGATATTAATATTATTTTTAAAATGATGCATGAAAGAGATAAGATATATACACAATTTAATGGTCATCAATTGAATTATTATCCTGAACTTAAGTTATAAAATTCTATCTACCTAACCTTGCCCATAATATTTCTACAAAAATTATGATAAAATATTGTAAGATAATTTATCATAATTTGTGGAATAATATTTTTTGAAAATTTATTTTTTGAAAATTTATTTTTTGGAAAATATTATTTGGATTTTTTTTTTGAAGATATTATTTGTTGAAGATATTTTTTTGAATTATTTTTTTTTGAAGATATTATTTTTTTGAAAATATTATTTGATGAAAATATTACTTTTTTGAACAATATTATTTTTGATTTGTTTTTATGAATGAGCTTAACCTTGCCCATGCATCCTACCATCAATAACCATATCATATGAACCACCCTATACTTCTATTTCCCCACAAGCATCCTAACAATGACAAGAATGATGGAATAGAAAATGAGAAAATGTGACTTTTTTGATGGATTTTGAGGTTGAGACTGTTATGAAATGTTTTGAGTGGAAATATGCATAATGAATAAGGATGACTTGAATAGTGAAAAAAAATGGTTGAAAAATGCTGTTCTTGCGTAGGGGGGGGGGCACGCTAGGATACCATAAAAAGATGGGCAAGGCCCACCCTAACTCCAGGTCCCCCAGTAGTGCCCTTTTACCGTTTCTTTTTTGGGGGAGGGTTGCCCTGCTAAAATAGACTACAGAAAAAAATAGGGTACCCTTATTCTAACCTCTCAAATCTGGAGGACCTAGGTGTGGCTCAGTAAACATGGACCAGAATCAGGCACATGCGCCATGGTCGAAAGGCTTTACTTGGGGCTGGTCGGAATGAGCACGGACGAACGATTCCTAAGGGAACCATGACCAGACCCCGATGCGCTCGGAGTTTTGAGCGTGGCTCATATGATTTGATTCAACTTGGACCAAAATGTGCAGCCCCACAGGGCCCCACTTTGTAGCTGGATCAGTACGTTCCCTTTGAAGTCCTGGTGTTGTTTGGAGGACAACTGTAGGAGGCACCCCTGCCCCTAGAACGTTCCATACCTGGGCCCCCTTTCTTTGTGGGTGTCCTTTTGGTTTCCTTTTTCAACCAAACAAGGGGTACCAACTCGAACAAAAGCACACCCAGAGAAGCGGCGAAATGACTTATTCAACTCCTCCATCCCAGACCTCCCGTGGGTTTGCTTCCTCTTTCCTTTCTTTTAGACCGGGGAGCCACTTCACCTACCAAGCCAGACAATCAAGCTCTCATTAAATACTGGGCAAGGAATAGTCAGCTCCTATAAAACCAAAGTTTGGCATTAGATTAAAGTGCAGTTGTTTTTGTCCCGAGGAAAGAGACAAATAGGTGGAGCGAATCGCCACTTCACAACTCAATCTTTGATCAGTTGCTCCCAAACCTTTGGTGATGTCCATGTTTCCTTTTTTGGATGGGGTTGCCTTTTTCTCGGGGTTGATTCCTTGTCCATTCTTTTCAACCATCGGTCTTTTCAATAACCAGTAAATTCTCCATTTCCGGAGGTTTTCTAGAAAGAAGGATCCCCGGAAAGAATGGGGAAGGTATCCCTGGCCTTTTAAGACGAGGCACGAAGAAACAGAACGACGTTGCTTTCCCATGGAAGTCCACTAGGAGTCTGGGTGTACAGGACCCAACAAAACCGCCCTCTGGTTTTGCTGCTAATCACGTGACGGGGTCACTGGCACGTTTCTGGAGGGGCTGGTTGCAAAGTTCGCAGCCACAAAGAGGTCCTTCGATCAGGTGTTTAAACCATGGTTTCGCTTTGAATTGCCCAGCCCTGCTTTGTTTGAAGAGCATAGTCGGCGTCGCATGTTGTCTTGAAGCTTGACCCTTTCAGAGCTCATTCGGATCATTGGAGGGGCCAAGGATCTTCATTAGAAGGGTTTGGACCTTACCCCAAAAAAGAATCCCGAAACCAATCGACAGAGGTGTAACTCGTTTTGATACAAACATAGTACACACAATTTCTGGCAGACCCATCTGGTTGAAATTGAATTTATGCCACAGAGCCCAACATATTTCACTCATCCTTTTTGTTTTGGGTTGGTCTAGACCGTTCTTTCGGCACCATTGAAGAAATCGCTTGCATCGTACTTTGATGGGCCCGGCAACGTGCGCACCACGCGCGCCATGAGGCCTTCTTTTTTGAGCACTTTGTCCGGGACTCAGAGAGACAGCTTCAAGTACAACGGGTTTCTCCGAGGTTCCACGGGTCGCAGCGGGTCTTCCAAAACAATTGCCACATTGGGTGCGTCGGTTTTTGAATTGGGTGGCGTTCCTTTGGGTTTCTGCAATGGCGTAGCTCTCAAAGCGCAGCACAGTGACGTGTCCTTTTGGCACGGGATGCGAAGGTGGTCTGTCCACCGGCGTAGTGATGGCTGCACAGGTCGATTGCTAAGGCGCAAGGGGCCCCTAGATGATTGGTGGCCGCGGTATGCACACAGGAGACTCATGTGAGGTACTTGCAAGGGCAGCAACTGATAGGCCCACATGTACAGAGGCCTAGCTGAATTGCATGGATACAAAACCCTTCCTCAGTTGATGACCTTGCATCGTCAATGGCCTTCACGGCGGACTTGCCCAGGGAGTGGTTCTTGCGGGCACTGGTGAAGTCCTTGTCGTAGGCGATGCTCCAAAGCCCAGTCTGCAGATACTTGTTGAGCCCAACTCTGCATTCAGGCTTCTTCTTGGTGAGAGCGTCGCCCAGGTCATAGTCGCTGGCCAACCAACGCAGCTCAGAGGCCGTCCGTTGCATGTGCTCACGCAACTGTAGGGCTTGCAGGGCAGCCCTCGCATTGCTCAGACCAAGCATCGGGCTCTCGTTGTAGACGACAGCATCATAGCCGCCCTTGGAGTCGGTGCGCAGGACCCCTTTGACGTTTTGGACCAGGGTTTCGCCCCAGGTCACATAGCCGTCCTGCTTGGTGAGAACGGAGCCTGCGCCATTCATCTCACTCCAGAGACCACGAATCCTGAAGTTTTGGTCTTTGCCCTCCAAAATGGCTTGGACCTCAGCGTCGTTCGAAGAAATGGATTTCCTTCGAAGTTTCCAGCTTCGCCAGGCTAAGGGTGCCATATAGGTGACCTTGCCCTTGGTGGCGGCAGGTCCAGATGCAGTAGACAACAGGCCGCCGGTCGAGTCCAGGTTTGCTCGGTTGGCGTGCGCCTGATCGCAGAGGTGATGAAGACCACATCACGCCAGGATTCCACCTCATCGGGGCATCGAAAGTGCAGCTGGTGTGATACCTTGCGGATCTCACCTACCATCTGTTGAAGTTCACGAGCAACAGCCATGTGCTTCTTGGTGGTGATCTCCGAAGCAAGTAAATTGCACCGGGCACTGAGTTGTGGCTGTGTTTGCAAAGCCAGCCACTGAAGGTTGCCCCATGTTGCTCGGCAAGCACCAATCTCATCAGCAGTCATGAGTGCGTTTTCTTGCCGAAGGCGATCTGGAGGGATGTCCAGGTCCGGCACAGTCTCGATGTAGTACTGCTGGCTAAGAGTGATCTCAGTGCGGCCCTTGTTACCCTTGAAGGCATGAACATCGGTACCAGCATGTCGGTAGGTGCCGCGCTTGAGCATGCCCCAGTCGTAGAGCTTGTCGATGCGTTGAACAATTTCAGCCCACTCTTGAGATTGCGGGTCGCCGATTCGGTGAAAATCATCGACATGACCGCCCATAAGACCAAGAACCTTGGGGACGCCGAAGGAGTCCGAGTAGATCTTGGACAGCCAAATCCAGATGCAACGTTCTCCAACAAGAGGCGTACCACCTATGGAGGCAAGACGCTTGTGCAGGTCTAGCCACAGACCTCGAGGTGCGGTGGTGCTCCCGTAGATGTTCTTGAGGATCTTCATGACATCGTTGGGACCCAAACCAAGAGCGTCTCGAAGTTCAGCAACATGATCAGCCTCCGTGGGCTGAGTCTGCAGGAAGGCGGTTGCAAGGTCCAGACCTTCCAATGGCCAATTGTGAACACAAGCCATGAGGTAGAGGAGGTTCCTGCCCAAATGCGACTGAACTGGGCTGGCGGTCTTGAATTCAGGCCGAAGGAGATCAGGGTGCTCATAGCCCAGCAGCACTACGCGTGCTTTGGCTTTGCGAAGTCCATCCTTGGTGTATGGAGATTTCTTGTTGGTGGCGGCTTCGCGCTTGGCCTCCTCGATGTCCTCGGGAGGCGTGAGTTTCCATGTGAGGACCCATCTGGCTCGCATGATGCGTCCAGATCCAAAAGCTTTGCGGACCTCTTCATCGTTCAAGGCCTTGCGAACTGCCTCGGCCTTGATGAAGCTACTGACTTCCTTGGACTTGGCACGGTTGAAGAGTTCCCGGAGCTCGTTGGACAGTTTGGTCAACACAACCTCGGAGTCTCGCATCTTTTTGACCATGAAGGCGGAGGCGTTGGACTCGAAGGATTTCTGCTGACGGTGTGACGGCAAATCCACATCGAGCTCGATCTGCATAACGTCCTCACACTGCATGAAGAGGTGGTGAAGGTCACCTTCTTGCTGTTGAAGTTCTTGCAGCCAATGAAGGTCGTAGTCACGGCTCTCCTTGGTGGTAGTGCTTGAGGTCGAGGATTTGAGCTCGTGGAGCAACTGATCATCCTCTGCAGTGCGGGCCTTCTTGGAGTCAGGCTCGTAAGCATTGACCGGAATGTCATCTTCCAAATCAGATGGTAGTGCAGGAGGTTCCGCATCTGGTGACGTGGGTTCGTAGAAGTCGGAGTCTCTTTCCCAGGCGTCATCACCGGAAGGTGCCGAGACCAGACGTCTGTTGTCGGGTGCCAGGGCAGACTTCTGTCGCACACGACGCTTAGGAACGTAGACCGTCTCCTTGTTGGGGGAGTCAGGCAGATCTGGTAATTCACGTTCACCAGGAAGTGGTTCGTCTCCGCTGAGGTCGACATACTCCTTCCGGGGGAGGATGTCCGTGAGGGAACGCCACTGGGAGATAGCCTCCTTGTTGTTGATTTCAAACTCGGTCTGCTCCAAGGACGTGGTAGGGCGTACCGAGTGCACACTGCAGCGAAGAAGTTGGTTCTGCAGCAAGACCCAAACAATGTGTCGGCGCTCATCGTCACCTCGTTGGTGTGGAAGCACTTCGTGGAAAACAACTCTGCCAGATCCTACCCAGTGAGGCTTGCCCGATTTCTTGTGGCCGCCACGCTTGCCCGAGTGGACAGATGCTGGCCATTGCTTACGCCACACCATGACCAACTGCATCGGATGGAAGGTGCGAAGTGGCTGACGAACCGTGGTGTTGTTTAGCTTGGACATGATTCGTAGAGCTCTGGTTCGTCGGGCCGTGTCCTCGGCTGACTGGCGTAGTTGAACTAGCCGTGAAAAATCACTACCAGGAGATTCTGGCAGAACCGATAGAGTCCTCATGTCCTCATCGGTGATGGAATAGTCCTTACCATAGCACCACTGGAAGGAGGAGTAGCCCTTCACATACTCGGTGGAGTTGAGAGCGGCTATCGCCAGGTGCAAGGTGATGATCGGATCTTGAGCAGGTGCTCCAAGCTGGATGGCAGAGGCAGTCATCTTGACATCCTTCATGGCGGATTCAATTTGGCCATGTGCCCAGCTCTCCTTCTCGGCAGGTGGTGCCAACTGAATGCCCACATCCGACAGGAAGCTGCCCATGTCCTTGGAGACCATGGTGAGTGCATTGTCCGGGATGAGGATCTCCGGCTTGGGTTTGTCGGCCAACCATTTTTCAGCAAAGCCGCGAATGATGTCCTCCGTGCTCTCACTCTGCATCTGCAGTGTGTCGTAGCACTTGATGATGTGAATGACACGTAGGCGTGTGGCCAGGTCCATCATGAGGAGGAACTTGACCTTGGTCTTGGCGCTCGGGATGATCCATTCACTGACATCCATGCCAACGGCTTGCCAGGCTCGGTATAGCTGGTGTGTAGCTGCAGGTGGAACCAGGCCAGAAGATGCTCCGCCAGGTCGAAGAGCATCACAAGATGCACACTTGAAACGCTTGGCCATCTCGATCTTCCAAGGTGGTAGTTGTGCATCGCGAAAAAGGTGGATCAAGCTCCGGTTGGTCGGATGTCCAGCGGCTCGATGAAAGCGATGTAGTTTTGCTTCCCATGCCTTGGCTTCATCAGGATCTACATCGGCGAGTAGGTCAGGTGGTTCGCCATCAGGTGCTGGTGGATCATCAGGCCGTGCAACTTGCTGGGCATAGACGTTGCCCGTTGAATTCGTTGGTAGTACTTGAGGAGGAGATATTGTTGAGTCGCTCTTGAGGACGTAGACTGCAACAGAGCTTGAGGTTGAGATGCTGCAGGCGTCAAGGGAGCAGTAGTAAAGGCTGAATCTCCATCCAGGTGGTGGTAGTTCATATGGATGTTTTGGAGCGGGCTCTCACGACGAGTCCAGTTGCCGTCCTCATCGTCAAACTCGTTGTTGGCGATGTTCTGGGTGGCCGAGAGGTACTTGATATGGCGAAGAGGTACCAGTTCACGAAGCCAGTGTCTGACAATGGCTTGTACCATCTTGAGCGGGTAGTAGGCACTGCGGGCTGTTTCACTGCCCTCTATGCGGGCGTGCTCGTGGTTGGCGGTGCAGACCTTGGCTCGGAAGTTGTGATGGAAGCGCTCATCGGTGGTGCGGATCATCCATTTCTTGTGGATCAGGGCAGATCCGTCCGCGGTCTTCATGTCGTACCGACAGCCATCAATTCGACATGGAAGCCAGTCGTGACCGAGAGCTTGTAGTCCATCACGAAGATCTAGTAGTGGCTGTTGCACCCAACCAGAGCAGGGGTGTGTCCATTCCCAGTAAATGTCAACGTTGGGGTCCTCCCGGAGGATCTCTAGGAAGAAGTTCTTGGCCTGCTTGAGCATGCGGCGTTCACGGCGCCGTGCAGTTTCTAGGACTTCGCAACGTTCAGGAGTGCTGTAGTTCAGATTGGCAAACTGACACCACTTGGTGCACGGTGGTGAGAACCAAATCTTGCGTGGTTTGTGACGTCGCCGTAGAGCACGAAGCTTGTCCCAAGTGTCTGGTTTGTAGATGTCGTAGCCAGACTCGAAGTTGATGCGGCGTGCTTGTAGTCCATGTTGCTGTGCCTCGGAGGTAAGCCAGGAGGTGCTGGAACAGGCGACTTCCCAGATGAAGTCCTGACCATCAAGTACTATGTCAGCTGACGCTGAGGTGAGGTTGTTGTTCATGAGGGTCATGAGCTGGAGTAGCTTGAGGCCAAGATGCTGAGGTAGTCGCTTCACTGACTCTCCGTGATGGGCGTCATGATGCCGTCCTCGAAGGACTTGGCCTTGCGCTCCTTCAGCATCTGAAAGAGCTCGAGCTTCTCCTTGTCGGCGAGGTGCTTCTCCATCTCGTGCATGATTTCGAGATTCTTGGGATCCTTGGTAGGAGAGGTTCCCACAGCTTCCCAACTGCCGTTGGATGCCGCCGATGTCGACGTCCTCGAAGGTGACACGGCGCGAGTCTTTACTGGTGCTGGCTGTGGTGGAGCAGCTGACTTGGTGGCTTTCTTGACCTCGTCGACCTTGAGAAGGAGCTTCTCCTCGGCGTTCAGCTTCTCCATCATGGCGAGGCATAGTGTTGCCGTGGGCTTCACATCCTCGAGCAGCACCTTCAGCTGGGAGAGCATCCGGCCCACCACAACAGGGTTCATGCTCTGAGTGTGACTTCCCGGACTGCCCTTCCGAGGGGTGTACTGAAGGCGGTAGTTGCAGACCTCGCATTGAGCCCACTGGCCGTGCGGATTGCTCTGCATCTTGGGTTGCCGTAGCATGGCCATTGGCTCTGGGAGTGCCGGGGATCTCGAGTGTCCGGTCCCACACTCCTTGACAGGTCGAAGTCCTGTGGTGGCTTCTTCTTGGGAGTGGACTTCTTGATCTGGTCGTAGATCAGTTCCTCGCCCTCCGCGCCCAACATCGGTGGTCGGGACATGGCCGTTCCGGGAGGTGCGAGAGGTATACGAATTGGGTTCCCGTGGCTGAGATGCCACGCGCATTTGAGCAGATGCTCTACGGAGTCGATCCATCATGAGGATTCGCCGTGGATCAACCGCACAGTCAACTGTGGCAACATCATGCTCGGCAGAGTCAAGCTGGAAGTGCAGGGGATGAAATTCAAGCACATGTGACTCTCCCATCATGCCACCGGAACTCCCTTTGATGAGAACGTGGGCGTGACCTTGTGGGTTGTGCTGACCCTTGGTGAGATACTCCCTAATGTCCAAAACATAGTGTCCCTTGTGGTTCTGTCGAAGCTGGTATGGACGGGGATCATCTTCCAGGGTATTCAAGGCCAGGCCGGTAGTAAAATCAATCATCATAGATGCCCCATGTTGACCCAAATGATCCATTCCAATGAGGATGGGGACCAACATAGATCTTTGGAAACCAGGAGCATGTAGTTCTGGTGGATTGGGTAGGGCATAGACCTTGAAGTTGCGGGTTTCACCTGAAACGGTACTACTGATGTTGACCTGGTACAAGGCACGCCCCCACTTCCCGTTCCCATAGCGAAAGTATGGCGAAGCGGATTGGTCCACTTCGATCACAGCTGAGTGGTCCTGTGCCACGACGGCCTTGATGAGGCCCTGTACTGCGAGCTCGGGTCCGGCTGATGCGGTGGCCCCGCAATCTACCACACCTTCAAAATCGCCCTGCTGAGTAGATGCCAAGGAGGTGGAGTGGCACTCTTTTGAGCTTTTGGTGCTCATGTCCAGGCCAAAGTACTCCGTGGTGTAGGAGTTGACAAAGGAGCGCGGTGGTGCAGAAGTGCCCTTGCCAGAGGACCAGTTCTTGCCTTTGCCCTTGAAGTACATGGCATCGTGGTCGTACTCCCCGAAGTTGGAGAACTTGCCCTTGCCCTTGCCCTTCTTACCCTTGGAGCCCTTGAAGTAGTAGATGTCGTAGTAAGGGTCCATTCCAGCCATGAAGCTGGAGTTTCCCTTACCGCCGGCTCCTTTGGGATGAGCAGGGGTGACGTCGGTCGGGACAGTCACGAGCCATGTGATTGCCGCCGCAATTGAAGCATTTGATGGGCGACTTGCCCTTCCCGAAGCCACGATCACGGTGAAGAGCAGCAGTGGCTTGTTTGGCCTGCACCCATGTGCGTTGAGCTTCTTGAGCAAGTTGTTCAGCGACACGTTCAGCTTGCTGTGCTTCTTGAAGATGGCCATCATCACCGGTGTCAGGAGCATCTGGCTCCTCAGGTGGTGTAGCGTCGTCTTCCCAGACGGAGGCGTCTCCAGCGTACCATTGTTGATACCAGTCCTCTTCAGGCCACCAGGGCTCAGATGAGTAGCCTTGCTGCCACTCTGATCCATGATGATCAGCATCAGGAGCTTCTTGATAATGCAGGTATCCTTGATGGGCAGCAGGAGAATGGGCATGACGAGGACCAAGTAGTTGTTCATCCCAGAGAAGACGAAGAGCACTGCTGATGGACTCATAGTCCATTTGATTGCGCGTTGTGGACAAAATGTCCCGCTTCTCCTCATTGGAGAGGCTTGCAGCTTGAAGCAACCGCCAACCTCGGAGAACACCCATAATGAAGGAGTCGGTGATGGACAGCTCACTCACGAGGTTCCCATCGAGGGCCGCAATGGGTGGAATAGTTGACTCCACAGCCGGTGCAGCAGTCGATGGAACAGCAGGCGTAGGACCAGTGGCTGAGCGGGTAGGCGAGGCACCGGGAGCTGCCTCTCGGGAGCTCGTCTCTCCTGACGTACTGCCAGGTTGTTCTTGTGATGGTTCAGGGGCAGAGGGATCAGCAGGCTCGGCACCATAGAAGGAATCATCCCATGGATCGTAGTTGGCCTCATCGCCGTACCAGGACTCCTCGCGGTAGGCCGGAGGGATGCCGAAGTCCTTGTCCTCCTGCTTGATGCCATTCTGCTCCTCGTAGAGACGAACCAAGGCTTCCGTGAACTCTGCATATCCCAGGGTCTCGCGGATCAAGAAGGCCTGCATGGTCTCCTGAGGAAGGCGCTTGAAGGCAAAGTACTGAGCGCAGATCGCCGCAGTGTTCGGAAGGCTTTGTCTGACCAGTGGTGATGCTGCCAGGCGTCTAAGAAGGTCACGGGTACCATCTGGTGTGTCGAAAGCTGCCAATGGCCAGGACATGGCCAGCAGCCTTGCAGGTCCTGTCAAGCGACTCACCAAGCGGGTGGCGCAATACCGCCGCTTATGTGGTGGCACTGATTGTACCCACCAGGCAGTCTCTCTTGTGTATTTGCGCCATGTCTTCGCTGAGCCATCCCAGGACGGTGCGCTGCCCTCCTTGTCGCTCATGATGTGGATGCCAACCTCAACGTCGCGTGGGCGAGGGAGGTCAAAGCACGGGTGGTGTATCACAGCAGGGAGACACAAAAGGAAAAGCAGGTGGTAACCCTTGATGCACAGGGTCGGGCCAATGAAAAGGGCAGAAGGTCTCTGATGTACAGAACCAGGCCTTAGGCGGATCTGAGAGGGTTCAGGAGCTTCTGGATCGGGTAGCCGTGCTCCGCTACCAATGCAATGGCGTAGCTCTCAAAGCGCAGCACAGTGACGTGTCCTTTTGGCACGGGATGCGAAGGTGGTCCGTCCACCGGCGTAGTGATGGCTGCACAGGTCGATTGCTAAGGCGCAAGGGGCCCCTAGATGATTGGTGGCCGCGGTATGCACACAGGAGACTCATGTGAGGTACTTGCAAGGGCAGCAACTGATAGGCCCACATGTACAGAGGCCTAGCTGAATTGCAGTTTCCTTTTAAAGCCATCCAACAAGGGGTACCATCAAGAATGTCCCCCTTTTGCGTCAAGCCTACAAACTGGAAGAAGACAGTGACTTACCTGTGCTCTTTGCAAGCATTTTTTCACGCATATGGGATCATATGGGTGTGTCTCGCAATGAGTCGGTACCCTTTAAAGGGATGGCTTCAAAGGAAAACCAAAACCAAAGGGCCATTTGTTTTGGATTTCGCTATCTCGAGGCGAAACCATGACATCTCTACTTGTATCCGCCCTTGTTTTGGCTACATACCCCGCTTTTTCAAGTTGGGTAGCGATTTGCCGGTTTGCGGGGGCCTCCCTCAGGTCCCGTTTGAGGAGGAACAGCTCAGTCGAAAACAAGCTATTTGTCAATCCTGGCTTCAACTCTGTAGTCTTCTCCAATGAGATTGCATATAAGCATAGGTGTCCTTTTTGGTTGTTTTGGTAGAAAAAATAGATGGTGTTCGATTCCTGGTTTACCTGGTGGTTTAGTCATCTACCAGGGCCATCTATTTGCTCTAAAAGGACACCTATGCATATAAGGGTAGACTAGATATGGAACAGAGTCAAACAATATTTGTTCTGTACCCAGATGTGCGCCAATAATTTTGTTATGTTGCCGGACTTCCAACAACTTTGCCATGAGTCTGAGACAGCAAATCCACTGGTTAATCCAGGGTCAACTTTTAAGCACATGTGCTTCTGAACACATTGGAGCCTCACTTCCCATCGAGTGGATTGTCCAAGAAAAGCTCCAAAACTCGGCCACCAAAACGGTTTCGGTGTGAAGGGAGGGGTTTCTCTTTAAGCCAACTACCCGGTGCCTGGGTACCAATTCCACCTCGCAGGGTGAGAGGCGAATCGCTGCACCCACAATTTTTTGCATAAAGGGTTGATGAGTGGCTACATGGGGGTGGCATTTCTTGATGGTACCCTCTTTTGCGTGGTGTTGGAAGAAACCACAAAAAGGAAGCCACCATTTTCGTTTGGGGGGGGCCCTTTTGTCAAGACACACCCAGATACTGTTTGTATCTCCCATCTTCCCTGTGTTTTTGACGTGTAGGAAGTGGCAACCTTTCCAAAAGGAACGTCGTTTTCTTAAAGGTTTTTTCCCCAACAGCTGAAAGCGTTGGGGTCTCAGCCCAGATAGGCTCCGGGGTGGTCCGGGGCGGCCCTGAGGTAAGGTTCCACGAGGGTTCCACCAGGGTTCCACCAAGGTTCCACCAGGTTCTGCCACGGCTGTGGGGTGGTGCGAGCACTAAAAAGGCACTAAAAAGAGCACCGCATGCTGTTGGGGATATCACCTGGGCTTATTTGTGCATTCCCATTCCTGCTGGTGGGATATCCGATTATAACCACCGTAGTGGCCTAAGCTCAATCGAACGCCGCAATCGCACTGAGGCGGACGAGATGTTGTTGAAGGACGGGGTGTTGTTGGGAATCCGCTTCCCGGGTGAATGTCGATGGCGCAATTCGTCCATGTTGGTGAGGTCATTCAGGTAAAGGGAGTTCCCATCCACTCAGTAGCCTCATGCAAACTGTTGCACAACCGCCCGGGCTTGTTTTTATTGAAGGCACTCGTTTTGCTGGATGGCCTGGAAACCCAAAGGAAGCCAGCCACATGCAGGGTGAGCTTTGGTCACTTGTCGGGTTTGGACCGTTTTGGCCAAGTTTTGGAGCTCTTCTAAGGCCAATCCACTCGATGGGAAGTGAGGCTCCAATGTTTTCAGAAGCACATGTGATGTTTTTCGATATCTTAGCACAGATTGCCAATGAGGTCTACATGCCTTAGGACTTGTGAGAGAGAAGCTCGTGCGCAAGCGAGCGAGTTCTTCTTCCATTTGCTGAAATTAATGCTATTATGTGTTTTATCTTTCTTTCTTTTTTGAAAAAAGAGTCAATTCCCTTGTTAGTATGCTTTTTTAGACATCAATTCCCTTGTTGGTTATTTCAAGGGGATTTCTCACTTCCGGATTATTTTTCTCACTTGTTCCAGGGGCCGAAGAAGGTCCGTGGAAGTCTTAGGCCTGCTCTTTTCGCAACTTGCATTTGATGAGACGCACTCCGAACTCTGTGAATTTCATTTCGGACTTTCGTCACTTGGGTCCAGGCCCATTCTTGCTGCGATAGGCAGGGAATGGGAAATGGAATGACCCATGCAAACCATCCCCTATGGTTTCCTTTAGTCCCTATAGGGGTTCATTCCCTGATTCCCTACTGAGCACCAGCAATTGTTTTGTGGCACTGGCAAATACAAAGCTCCGTCTCTTTCGGGCCGCGGAAGTGAGTAACTTGATGCATGTTTGCGCAAGTGAATAGGTGCTGCATCGCTTGGTTGGGGATTTCCTTCACACACAAGGGATGGCCATGCAATTGAAAGTCGACTTGAAAAACAGTATCCCCTTTTTGGGTTTAGCCATCCCATCTACTTACCCTCCTGGCCACAAGCATGGAACCCAGAGGGTCCCTTTGAATGGAACATATCTTCCAGTACCCCGAAACGTCCAGTATGTTACTGGACCGGAAGGTACTCATTGAAAGAAAGCTGTGCCAGGCGTTTTTGTTCCAGTCCATCTTTTTTGTCAGACAGCTGTGGTTTGGTCTGTCTTTCAATGCGCTGTTTCACGTTGGGGTCTCCCGTTTTGAGATCCCTTGACTCGAAGGTTTCACCATGTCAAGCAAGGGGCGACACATTTGCCAACATCACTGAAAGTCTACGAGATGGACTAGGGGCCAAACAAGAGTTGTTGTATGCTACTGTGGATGGACAAAATGGACTTCGCGCCACTTAAGGTAAATGGTTTACTCTAGCATAGGGATTCATAAAAATTCCAAGTGCAGGCACAGTAATCTGAATTCAACTCATGGTCATGGAATAGGTTTGCTAGGGTTTGCCGTCTCAAAACAAAAGTCCCCTTTCCCCCCGTAAATAGATCTGCAGCCAAGGCGTGCTTGTCCCGCGAAGCGTTGAAATCGCCAACGACGCCTGAGGAGTATCCTGCGCCAAAGACGCCCATCGGCACTCCGAAAGCCATCTCCGCATTCGCCAAGGCCGGTTTTTTTTGCTGTTCGGCGGCGCCCCTCGAAATGTGGGTATGGGTCACAACATATGCCTCCATTTTGGGGTGGATGAACACCCATGTACCACCTATTTTGATGTAGGGGTAGAGGAACTTAACCCACAGCCATGTTGTTTCTTTTTGGTGGGCTCGGCCTGAAAGAAGGCCCAAAAAGGGTGGGCTCGGTGCCGTCGCCAGACCCTGCATCCGCGGGTAGCGGGACAGTTTCAGGCAATAGCGGTGGCACTGTCGATTCTGCACATGGTCTGACGGTAGACGGGTTTTTCATTACTCAGTTGAGCCATCGAGACCCTCGAAAGTCTCCTTCGCTCAGGCCCCACTTCAGCGAAATTCTAGAAACTTGTAGCCGGTTTTCATATGAACTCCAAATTATAGGTGTATTCTTTGTAGAAATGACGGATGACGCTTCATGGCTAGTCTCAAATTTGACATTGTCTTTTGGAGAATCCCTTCAATGATTTCAACAGAAGGGGAAATTGGCATCCCCGTCCACTTGAGATGAACCGTAGCGAATGGCGCCCAGCCCGAGCCTATCCACCCAAATCGTGAACCCCCCCTTTTTGGCCTGTTCAGAATCAACCCAGCAATTCCAGGCAAACCACTCTGGGAGTTGTCCAATGGCACCACCCTTTTACAAGATTTAAAGCCAACATGGCTTCCTATCACAGCGGCAACTGGGATCCACTGGGCAAAAAACCTGAACTTTTTGTGTTTTTCTTGAGGGGTTTCAAACCCTCAAACTGGGCACTGGGAGTCAACCCCTGACAGACGGTCATGGTTTCTCTTGCTCGGAGCGGGATTCAGGACCCCCTGTGTTGAACAGAGTTTGAGTGGACCCATCTGGAACCAGGGGTCAGACTCTAAGGCTAAGCGCCCTTTGGGGTGGTTTTACATTATTTGTCAGCTTGATATGTGCTGCTGTGCTGTTGCCACACGTGTTTTCTTCTTTTTTTTTGCCAGATTTCAAATGCATTTGCTCAAAGTTTTGACGGCTAAGATTATGTTGCCACTTGGGGAGGGTAGCTAAACCGCTCGACGCTCTTGGTCAATGGAGGGACCAGGCCTGCCAAAAGTCCAATTGGGCGGCAAACCAAACGCAGCGGGGCTTGGTCTCAACCTGGCAGATTGCAACTGAAATCCAGTGCCTGAAGCAAGGCTCGATTTGGGTGTTTCAAAGGGTCTGTAAAAGGTGGTGACCCCTGACCCCGTCGCCCAGCGGCGCCTTGATTTCCTTTGTTCGGGAAGGGCTTCCCTTTTAAGCTCCAATCAAACAGAATGCCCTTTGTTTTTTCCGTGGCCACTGGGCATTTTGGGCATTTAAGCTGATGAAACAAACAAGCCAATATGAATCAGGTCCTGGAAGAACGGATTTGCTGCTAAGGGACTCTCTGTGCTGGGCTTTCGGGGTGTGGCAGAGACACGGGCTCGTTTCGGTTACTCGGTCCTTTGTGGATTCCTGAATTCGGGTTGTCCAATTATGGTGAGTGGGAAAAAGCTGCCAGCTAAATCATTGCCAGCCATCTGCTTCTATGATCCTGGCCGATTTGGGCTGTTCAACCCTTCTCGATTTTTCTGCCCTTGTGCAGACTGGTGCCTTTGAAATTAATCAGCTCGCGAAAACCAACATGGAACCATAGGTGTCCTTTTTGGTTGGGTTGCTTAAAACATAGAGGGCCCTGGTTTAGATGGTCCTGGTTTAGATGGTTTATTCCATTTACCAGGGCCATCTATTTTTCCAAAAGGCCACCTACGCATGGAAGCACAACACCACGAGATTCGAACCTGTGTATAATACTACAGCCTCTTTTGCGTCTCCCTAGGAGCAACCTCCGCACCGGTCGTCTCCACCTTGATTTTTCCCATTTGGACCAAGCCCCCAATGTTGCCATGCCCTTCGCTAACATGAAATATGAAGCGTAACTCATGTGAAAGTATTTTCTGGGGTTGAAGGATGACCGGGTATTTCCCTAGCAACATCGCAGCAGAAGTGTTTTGCTTTAAAGGAAACAAGCTGGGATCTCGTTTGACATTTTTTATGATGCTTGGTTCACTACGCATATAGGATTGGCAAAGAGGGCTTTGGGGCCAGTTTCTTTTGATACCCTCCCCCACTAGCAGAATGGCTCCCAATAAGCGGTCCATTTTGGAGATGTTCTTAAATCCCTTTGGGAGGAGGGTTCCCTTTAAAGAGATCAACTGCACAAATGGATGTGGCTCAAAATTAAACAGCTGGGGCAAACCGCAGGTTTGGGTCCATGTTTCCACTAGGGATCCATTTTGGGTACCGGTTTTTCTGAGCCACAGCCAAATCAAGGTGCATTTTCCCCCCAATCCATTGGTCTGGGCCATGCCCCTTAAGCGGGCCGTTGCCGTTTCAGGTGGACATTGAGGACTTGGGGGACGGCAAGAAAAACCGACGCTCGGCGCAAAAAAACGCAAGCAAGTCGTGTATGACAAAAGGACCCAGCGGTCAAATTCAAGAATCATACTCTTTCATTTGGTTAAGAATATTTTTGATTTTCACCCGTTGGTTTTAAAGGGAATCTATCACTACTGGGCATACTTTTTTTCCAGGGGACTTAAGCAAATGGATGTACTGGTGCCCTTGTTTGTGTTTTGGTGGTTTTCTTTCAAAATCAAGCAACAAAGAGTGCCATTCATCTGCCATGGGCAGTGGGGTCGTTGCATATCCTGGCTCCCCGAAAAAAAGGGCGACCAAAAGAAGAGCGGTTTGACAATTGGCTTCAACATGTTCCTCACTGAGTTCCAAAGCTTTCACAATTTGTTTTGTGAGGACTGCACTTTTCTTTCTTTCGTTTTTGTTTTGGGGGAGGGGGTTCCTAGACTTTCATTACTTGTTTTGTGAGGACTGTTCTGTTCTTTCTTTTTTTTTTTCTGGGGGGGATGCCTAGACGTTCATAACTTGTTTGGTGAGGACTGTTCTTTTCGTTTCATTGTTTTGGGGAGGGGATGGGTTCGTAGACTTTCATAACTTTTGTGGGAGGACTATTCTTTTCTTTCTTTCTTTCTTTCTTTCCTTTTTTTTGGGGGGGGGGTCCTAGACTTTCATAGCTTGTTTTGTTGAGGACCTTTCTGTTCTTTCTTTTTCTTTTTCCTTTTTTTTTGGGGGGGTGGGCGTCCCCCCTCAACAAAGCAGACAGACCCAAATGGCCATGAGTCAAAAGCCCGTACCCCCAGTGGACATCTCAATCCCGACTATAGCCTAAAATGGGTGGTGCAACCCCAAAATGGGATCCCAAAACGGTTTTGACCCACAGCCATTTGGAGGGTGGTGAAAGGATGTTTTGTTGTTGGGTTCGCGGAGTCATTCGCTGCGCGAAGCCAGAGCCCAGGGAGCAACCAGAAGGCGGCCTTCTACTTGAGGCGAGTTTCGGGTTTTTTCTAAGCTGAAAGACGAGAGATCGATATACTCTAAGGGACACGACAATTGTTTTTTGGCGCTTCTCTCTTTTTTAAGAACGAAGGAACAAACACAATAACTGTATGAAAACAGTTGTTGTTTTTTGAGAATACATACCCACTCCAAAGGACACACGCACACACACCCCTTCTTCATGGATACCCCCCTTTAAGCACAATCAAATCCGCGGAAATCCCCTCGCAGCAGCAAGGATGGAAACCCTTGCCCCCTTTGCCGGGAGCGCCAAGGGATGCTGCGGGGTCTAGAATGAGGAAATGGCCAAATTCGCTGAGGTCAAAGTAGGTTTGGCCTTTTGCCGGAGTGGTATCATGTCTCCAAACGTGTATCATGAGCCACAAGGTATGTCATTTGTATATAATCATTTATTTATATATACATTCATAAATAGCCCGCAAGCGCGTATGCAGGCGCGTAAAGTTGCGTAAGCTCGCCGTACTACCCCACGCTTGTCCACACCTTGATGCCACAAAAGCCATTTCTGGATCTGCAGTGGAGGCAACACAAACTCTGGAGGCAGAGTTGGCGAGCAAATCCAAAGTGCTGAGCAAGAGTGCTACAAAGTCAAGACCCCAAAAGATCAACAGCGCCAAGTTGCTGCGCCTCAGAGCAATTGTTCAACCATTTCCTCCTCAGAGTCACCCATGTTATCTGAACCCAGTAGCGGCTGCATAGAAGAAGAAGCCCGCGCAAGGGGAAATGATAAAAAAGGCCGACGCTCAAGCAACGCATACGCTTGACATGCTCCCTGGCTGCCGCGTAAGCCGAAACATGGGAAGCAAAGCACTGGCTCGCGCGTAAGCAACCTTCCCTCATGGCGTGTTTAACATATAGATTCCCCGAAGCTTGCGCCCCCCCAAAAAACAATCAAAACAGAAATAAATTGTGGGCTTCCGTTTGGTTTCCTACGTTTTCCCCTTAACACCAGCCAAAAGGGGCTCCCTACAACAGGACATACCCAGATGGGGCCATTGAGTTTTCTCCTGCAAAAGAGAATCGATATAGCTACTAGTTGCACAAAGACCTTCAGTGCCTCATAGCAGTTGTTGCTCCAAGCAAAAGATCTGGTCGCCGACCTCCCGTTTTTGAGCACTGAGCGGTAAAACAAGTTAGGAAACCCATGCGCATAGTAGTGGTGCCTGTTTTTGTTTTCTTTTTTTCCCCCGGAGGGGGGCGACAGTTTCCTTTTCACCTGCAGCGTTTCTTCCCCAGTATGGGCGCTGAGACATAATTCCAACGTTAGACTGGCAATGCCTCGGAGCTATTTGAGGGCTGCTGGGGGTGTCCCGACGAGGGGGGACCCTCAGTCTCCTGCAGGGACTTTGAGGGTGGGACACCGGCGCAAAGTGGATGAGAAATAATTCGACCTGCTGCCTCTGTGCCTGTGTGAATGTGTGTCGCTTGTTTTTGATTGTTTTTGGCTTCCCTTGCAACCACCAAGCAAAAGAGTACCATTTTCCAGTTTTGGCTTGCTGATCCCGCAAAATTCCATGTTTCCCAATTTTCCGACCTTAACACACACGCACACACACACACACACACACACCCACACACACCAACACAACACAACACAACACAACACAATACAAGACAAGCCAAGCCAAGCTAAGCCAACGCAACGCGACGCAACGCAACGCAACGCAACACAACACAACACACACACACACACACACACAGCGACCCACCCACCCACCCACCCACGCCCACGCCCACGCCCACGCACCCGCACCCGCCCACGCCCACGCCCACGCCGACGCACCCGCACCCGCGCATACGCACACGCGCACGCCCACGCCCACGCACACGCGCACGCGCACGCACCCGCACTCGCACCGCACCCGCGCCCGCACGCGCACGCGCACGCGCACGCGCACCCGTACCCGTACCCGCACACGCACACGCACACGCACACCCACACCCACACCCACACCCACCCACACACACACACACACACGCCGCCGAATGTTGCACACCTGGCTGGAACCAGCGGTAGGTGGCTGGCTACACTGGTGGGTGACTTGCATCAGCCCCTGCATTGGCCGGGATCCTGAGAACGGCGCGGCCGGCAGTTCGGGGCTTGGCATGTTGGGTATCGAAAAGGGAGACAGCCCAAAACGAGACCAACACGAGCCCTATTCGAACGCCAGGTCTTCATCTTCCTCTTCAGATGGTTGACAGAACAATGGGAGAGAACTGCTTGCCATGCAGGAATGTTGCAGGGACAGCGGCTCGCTGTTGTCCTAGTACTTTTGCACTCCTTTGCAAAACTGGTCTCAAGTTGGCTGCGATGTTATATATGTCCGAGAACTCCAGTCTGAGAATCTGATCTGAGCAGGGGCCCTGAGGTCGAAAGATTCCTTTCGAAGGGGTGCTTGGTGCCTGTCCAAACGCCCTGGGAGCAACCCTGCACTGAACTCAGCGCTCCCAAGGTCTGCTTTTGTCTTTTTCGTTTCCGGGGAAGCTAAATCAAGTCGAATCTGAAAATCAGAATCCGGGGTATCCCAGATGTGGGCCAGTGTTTCCGTTTGGCCGGGCTTGCTATTTGTACACTAACCTGCTATTTGTAGACTAGCTTGGAAGAATGCGGGGACCACGTGACAGTGTAGGTGCTTTCAGGCACAACATGTCCCAACTTATGGAAGTGGGGAAGCCCACTCATCTTGTTCGGCGCCTCTGCCATGTATGGTATTCCTGGATGTTCCACCTGCTCAATAGGTAGGCTTAGGATAAGAACAATATGATTTGTTACTCATGGACGTCTTGGGAACGAAAATGGTGGGCCTGCTTTGGGTGTGTTTTACACGGAAAACAAGGAAACACACATATCTTAAGACACTTACCTCCTTGGCTGAGCCCTCCATATGTCAAGGGGTCAGTTTGTTTTGCCATTAATACCCAGGAGGAGATCGGGCAATTCCGTACCTTCCCGTCGTTGCCATCGAATCCACCAGAGAAGTGGCCCCCTTTTAAAGGAATGTAGTCTTCCAGGAGTTGAGGCCATGGCAATGTGGACAGCAGGGAAGGTCGGTTGGTTATAACTGGGGCAGGCAAATGGGGTTAGCCCCCTTATGCCCATAGTTGTGGCGCGAGGTGCACGAAAACTTGCCTTTTTCACGTGTTTACAAGTAGCACCGACAATCGATAGTGAATGGGAAACCTGTGGCTATTTGTGCATCTTCAATTGTGTGTTGTATATGTATATTTAGAATATGTATACATATGTACACATGTTGTGCGTACTTTGATGTACCTATACATTTGTACACAGATGTTATGCATTTCTCTAGAGATATGCGTAGTATATTGTATTGGGACCTTTCCAATCAAATGTTCTCCTGAGGCTGGCCGAGAAGCAGTATGGAGAGGAGGCTGGTTGGCGGAAGTGAAGTTATCTCCCGGGTGCGGCACCCTTCTCACAATAAGAATAGGACCCCCCCCCACACTGGGGCGTAGTTTTCAGAATGGTGGAGGCACCACCGGCACTTGTTCAAGGACCTCTCAGCTGCTTAGACAAAGAGACGTCGTTTTCTCCGGGGTTGAAACCCTATTGCATGTTTTCAAGCCAGCGCCTTGTTTGCTTTGGACGAACAAATGACCCCTCGAGTTTGTTGCCCTCGAAGGGGTACCCAAGGAGCACTTGGGGAAAAATGAATATCCCTGGGCGAGAAGGGTCTTTCAAACAACGAGATCCCCCCAAAATGATTTGTGTCCCTTTGGTTTCCCCTTTTAATTCCCAAGAGTGGTCCAACATGTTGCGAAGCTCTCGCGGAAAAAGAGTCGTATGCCTTTGGGCAGTCTTGGGTCAGCCTTGGGTCTCAGGTGAAGCTGCAGTTCAGAGGTCAGGAGTACAGCCTTCTGAAGTTCTGGGAGGACGGGCAGTGAGGGCTGTGAATTCCAGCGGGGTGAATTGTACCTCACACGACCTCACCCCAAATGGTGGCTTATGCCCAGCTGATTTCAGGCTGGTGAATTATGTTATAATTCACCGAGAATTCCAGAGCATGTGAAGCTCGGGCTGAGTCCAAAGCGTGTGGCTGGATCGGTTGGTTTTGTTTCTTCTCCTGTTTCTCCAAGGACAACCCAGGCAGGAACGATTGCTTCAGATCTTTTGCTGGGACCATTCGGGGAATTTGGAGTCGAAGCCCGTGCTTTTGGAAAGGGCCCTGAACGGGGGGCGGGGGGAGGCTGGTTTTTGGCTTGATTTGAGTTACCCTAAAAAACATTACCCGAAGGGATGCATTTGTTAACCTGACTTACGCAAAGGGCTCCCCGAGATTGGGAAGTGTTCCTTGAGTGTGGCAGCGTGACAGCGAATGGAAGGCTGCAAATTGTTGACATCCACTTGACAGAGACTTGTAAGCCACACAAGTTGCTCTACCCAAGTAACAATTTGTGTATCGAACCGAGGGACTCAACGGTTGCTCCAAGCGGAGTAAAATCTCCGGGTCCGGGTATACAAAGAAGGCACGTTTTTTGGCGTTCTCCGTTGGTTTCCTTTTTCGTGGAGCCCAAATTTCTACCCATGGAATCAGTGGTCATAGAGGATCCGTAGGTTTTGTCGGAAAACCCTTGAACAGTTTAGCTTCCCAGAGATTCTACCAACCGTTTGGATCAGCTCGAGCTCAGCAGCCAGTCGGGGGCGTCACGTGAGATCTTGTAGGATGCCACATTTTGAGATATGTTACCCTCAATTTCTGAGAGAGGTTCCTTCAAAGGACGAAAAAAATAAAAAGCCACCCTAGCTGTTTGCTGATGGAAATCTTCTGGCTTGGGCCACTCGATTCGGTCGAAGGGAGCAATGCGAATGGATATTTTTTTGCGGGCTGTGCACGGAACGGTGCTTTTTTTATTCTTCTTTTTTCCTTTTTATTTGTTTTTCTCGGAGACTCTTCAGGTGAGCGCAGCCATCTCTAAGTGAGGTGTTTCATAGTCGGGTGTGTGTTTTGTCAGGGTACCCATTTTTTAGCTTGAGTTGAAGGGGAATCACAAGGAACATCACCTTTTGAGGGGCTTCCCCTATTGTTGACCCATGCTCGTTTCCGAATTCCTGGCTCGCCAGCTCCAGTTCCCGATTCTCGTGAGGAGTTTCTGCCAAAGAACCTGCCGGACATTCCGAACCTCTCCACTTTGGATCTGGAATACAAGGCCCAGCGCCGGCCTGAGATACTTCTGCCGGCCCCCAGAGATAGATTTGGCGGTTCGGAACTTCTGCGAAACGAATCCCGGGGTCGGCGCAAGAACCACGGTACTGTGAATGGATCAAATTCGGTTTTGCAGCACTTGGAATGGATGAAACCATCCAAAAGAACCACGGAGTAAACCACCAGTCCCAGTTTGTCCATCCACAGTCTGGGGTCCAAACGTGTTTCTTGCTGGGGTGACTTTCCCCATTCATATAGCAAGCACAATGTACTACACATAGAGGCAGTGTATGTAATTACACATTGTGCCATTATATATATATATATATATATATATTAACGCCTCCGGCTCAGGCCGCCGACATTACAGGCCTGCTTTCTTATTTGCGTCCCTTTGGAATTGTCCCCTTGCCCCCTTCCCCTCTAAGATTTTTGCCCCCCTTTCCCTGTTGAGATCCATTCCCCCTTTCCCCCCTAAGGCCCTTTCTCCCTCTGAGATTTTTTCCCTTTTCCTCCCTAGGATGTTTTCCCCCCTCTCCCTGTTGAGATCCTTTCCCCCCTTTCCCCCCTAAGGCCTGTTCCCCCCTGAGATCTTCTCCCTTATCCTCCCTTTCCTCCACTTTCCCCCCTAAGGCCTTTTCCTCCCTGGGATCTTTTCCCTTTCCTCCCTGAAATCTTTCCCCACCTTTCCCTGTTGAGATCCTTTCCGCCCGTTCCCCCCTAAGGCCTTTCCCCCTTAAGATCCTTTTTTCCCCGTTGAGATCCTTTCCCCCCTTCCCTTTAAGGCCTTTCCAGATCTTCTCCCTTTTCCTTCCTAAGATTGTTTCCCTCCTTTCTTTGTTGAGATCCTTCCAGATCTTCTCCCTTGTCCTCCCCAAGATCTTTTTCCCTCGGTTGAGATCCTTTCCCCCTTTCCCCCCGAGATCTTCTCCCTTTTCCTCCCTAGGATCTTCTCCCACCTTTCCCTGTTGAGCTCCTTTCCCCCCTTTCCCCCCTAAGGCCTTTTCAGATCTTCTCCCTTTTCCTCCCTAAGATCCTTTGACCCCTTTCCCTGTTGAGATCCTTTCCCCCTTTCCCCCCTAAGGCCTTTTCCCCCCCGTGGGATCTTTTCCCTTTCCTCCCTGAGATCTTTCCCCCCCTGCGCTTGCTATGTTTTCTCCCCTTTCCCCCCTACAGCCTTTGCCCCCAGATCTTCGCCCTTTCCTCCCCAAGATCTTTTCCCACTTTTCCCTATTGAGATCCTTTCCCCCCTGTCCCCCCTAAGGCCTTTTCCCACCCTCAGTTCTTCTCCCTTTTCCTCCCAAAGATTTTTCCCCCCCTTTCCTCCCTAAGTCCTTTTCCCCTTGAGATCTTCTCCCTTTTCCTCCGCTAAGATCTGTTGCCACCTTTCCCTGTTGAGAGCCTTTCCCCCCTTTCCCCCCCTAAGGCCTTTTTTCCCCCCCTTTCCTTGTTGAGATCCTTTCCCTCCCTTTCCCCCCTAAGGCCTTTTCCCCCCAAGATCTTCTCCCTTTTCCTCCCTAAGATCATTTGCCCCCTTTCCCTGTTGAGAACCTTTCCCCCTTTTTCCCCCTAAGGCCTTTCCCCCCGAGATCTTCTGAGATCTTCTCCCTTTTGCTCCCTAAGATCATTTGCCCCCTTTCCCTGTTGAGATCCTTTCCCCCTTTCCCCCCTAAGGCCTTTCCGCCCCTGAGATCTTAAGGCCTTTTCCCACCCTGAGTTCTTCTCTCCCGCTTAAGATCCTTTCCCCCGTTTCCCCCCGAAGGCCTTTTCCCCCCAAGATCTCCACCCTTCTCTTCCCAAAGTCTTTTTCCCCCTTTCCCGTTTGAGATCCTGTCCCCCCATTGCCCCCTAGGGCCTGTTCCCCCCGAGAAAGATTTCCCTTTTCCTCCCAAAGATCTTTTCCCCCCTTTCCCCCCTAAGGCATTTTTCCCCAGATCTTATCCCTTTCCTCCCTGAGATCTTTCCCCCCCTTTCCCTGTTGAGATCCTTTCCCCCCTTTCCCCCCCTTCATTTCCAGATGTTCCTCCACCAGCATGGGCAACATCCCCAGCATCACTTGCATCATCCGCATCCTTGGCGGGCGCTGATGCGGATGATGCAGGTGATGCTGGCGATGTGCCGCTGGAGCTGCTAAGGATGCGAAAGCGGACCCGGGAGGATCGAACACCCCAATGTTTTTGACTGAGTACGTGGACCCTCCCCCCCCCGCAATAGTCTGATTTTTCCCCCCCTGGGGAGGGGTGAGGGGGGGGGGGGGGAAACAGGTAGCATTTCTTATGTCCAACTGTCCAACACGCCGTCTGTTGTCGGCGGATACACCCACTCAGAGAAATTGGCAAGGCTTTCTTCTTTTGTTTGCTTGCTTGTTTGTTTGTTCAGAGTTCTATGGAAAAAGGATTTGGGATGGGAATTTGGGAAAGGGAAGTCCTGGTGATCGACTCTGAGGCACCACGAGTGGGGGAACCACTTGCCTCCGGAGCTCTTCCGACAGTGGGCTGGGGAGATGTCGGACAAGGCGAGAGACGTTCCTCGAGGGCTGGGGGGAAGCACCTACTGTGGATGGTTGCGAAATCCCCGAGTCTTGTACCACTGTTCAGAAACCCTGGTTTCTGATGAGCCCCCTGTAAGCACCCTTGTAGAAATTGCAGAACCATATGGCTTCCACCATGGCTTCATTTCGTGGCGCATCCACAGTAGCACCAAGCTCCTCTCTGAGACAGGTTGTTCTAAAGTCTAGAGAGAGGTCTCTCGCTAGCCATAGCGTATTGGGGGGTTCTAAGAGCGATTCTGGTATTTTGAGATGCTAAAGAATGAGCATTCTGTTTGTATGGTCATGACATTTTGTTTTGAGTGCTCCAGAACCCGAATCAAACTTTTCAGACCCTTGCAGTACTTGCGCGTTCAGCCATTGTCCCACCTTTGAAGAAGAAGCTTTTTGAAACACACCCAAGCAGCTGAAACGCTGGCAAGTGTCTTAGGGGGAGAAGGACCCTCTTGTGTGTGGGAGTGGTGTGCTTGCAGGAACTGTAGGAACGGTATGGATTCCTACTTTCAGCCAGCTGGAATCCTGTGGGTCTATGTTACCGAACATAGTAGGAAATCAGCCATCTGGCTATATGGGCGTGTTTTCTTGAGGGTTCCCGCTTTTGGTGGTTTAAAACGAAAGCCAAAAGGAACACCACCCAATTTGCGGCCCACGCACATCCAAATTTGGAGCAAGTGGTAGGGGTCATTGCAACTCGTGAACCCACGAACAGGAAACGGGCTCTTTTTTGTAGACCCACAAAGAAATCAGGGGCTGTTTTTCCGCTGGGATCGGGGAACGATTTTGTCTTGGGGTGTGTTTGACATCCATGGGAGTTGCGGTCCTTTTTGACACATGACGTTGTATCCGAGCGGGTTCAAATACCCTTGTACTTTCCGGAGGCTGTCGTGTGTTGAGTTCAAGCCAGCTGGAATATGAGTTGTTTGATGTTCAATTTGTGTTGCGTTTGCTGGACATACGGGGCGCGCCTGTGTAGAATTTGTCGGACACATCCAATGCCAGCGGTTGGACCCGTTGGCTGATCTTGGTTGTGACCAAGTCACCTTAGTGCCTGCTGATTTATTCGATTTCTTGGGGCCTCGCAAGTTCCCCAAAGAATAACTCGGGTTTTTGGTCGAAGGCCTCAAAAGGCCCTGTTGGAAACGTAATGGCTTTTCAAGTAAACCTACAGCAGCTGATCGTCATTTTTTTACTCATGGATTTCTATTCAGGTCGCAAGTTTGGAGACATGTTTCTCGCTTTTTCATTAAACCTACAAAAAGGTGATCCACCTTTTGCTCGTCATGGTGCAACCCACGGATCCCAGCCATCGCTGCGGATATCCGCCTTCTGAGTTCTTTACATGGTTTTGGGTCGACCATTTTTGTGCCAGGTTTTGATTGTCACTCAGCTGATCATAGCATAGATTACAGAGATTTGGAATCCATTTGTAAGTTGGAGCCATTGCTTGAGCTGGCTTGTATCCCGGGATCAAACTAACAAGAACATCGGAGCTCCAACTTGGATTCTTCGGTCTTCCTGGGCCCTTCAGATCATCCAAACGCAAGACCCTTATCTGCTGGGGTATAGCCATGGCTTGTCCGCGACTTGCTGTCCCAGATTGGCGTTTCGCCACTACTGCCATTTGCCGATATGAAGAGTTGTTGATTTTCGATTTTCCCTTGCTGGTTTTATAGGGGACTTCTCACTACTGGACATATGTCTTTCCTTCTTTCCAGGGGGCGAACTCGCAAATGGAAGACTATGATAGTGTGGACGGTGGCGAAACCCTCTTGGGCACCACCGTTCAGAAACCCTGGTGTCTGATGACTCTCCAGTTGGTTTCAATCTGGTGCCAACATGGATTTCGTCCATCCAAAGTAGGTAACCCTTCGGTTCAACTTCCTTTTTTATATCGGGTGGGAAAGCCCTTGCTTACCTAGCGGCTTGCCTGGAATCACTGGGTTCGCGATGCAGTTTCTTTTTCCTCCCCGAAACTCATGCGACAGGCTGCGACAGGTCTGACAGATGGAGCGGGTCATGAACCGGGGGTTTTCCGTGCCAAGCTTCCCTGGAAAAGCATGTTTATGCATGTGTACATAGATACAAATATATACACAGAGTTGATTCCATCTTGCAAACGACCGGGTCACTGGTAAGAGCCAGTGGTACAGTTCCGGACGTACAGACAATTAGTCGGGCGGGAAAAATGTGTTATTGTAGCTTGACGCATCGTGGCAACTCTCAGACTGCGCATATGCACTATCTGTGGCGGAGCAAGTCTAAACACCCACGATGTGCTGCAGATGTGGTGGTGCAAAAACTTTGACATTCTCGGCCATTACCACCCCATTCTTCATCAGCATGCTTACCGCAGAGACCTCCAAAAAGTATAGCCACACCGTGACTACCATCAAGCTATAGGACATTAGACTTGTATCGCTAAGCGGCAATCAAATTGCCGATGCCTCAAGCCAAGGCCGAAAAGAACATTCTCTCAAACTAGCCGAGGCGATGCGGCACACTGAGCAGCTTCACGACACCCACAAAAATGGATGAGGCGGACAATTCAGCACGTGGCTGAGCCAAGTAAAATACGTTAGACTCCAGATCTGCGGCAGTCTCCTAACTTCGCTGGACACACAGCCCATTAGTGGTGTTGATGCCGAACAGAGCAACCGGCTCGCAAGAGCCATCCCCGCTAGCCTGGTGGAACAAATTACTAGTTCTGGTGTTTCCTGTCAGTTTGACAACGACCCGCGTTGCATTTTGAGGAATTTCTCGAACTGGAGCCGGGGTTGTGGCACCGATCACGCCATGGCTTGCGGTGGAACTGGCCAATGGCCTTAAAAACGTGTCTTGGGTCGAATTATGGACAAAAACCCGAGCGGGGACCCGTGAAAGGCAAGGCCGAAGACCTGAATTGGGCGTCGCAGATGCGTCAGGCGAAGCTTTCGTAGCATCAATTGCCCTCCACGCGTGCTAAGCTTCAAGCGTTCCGGAGTAAGATCTTGGGCGCCCTGCCCGGACGAGCTGTCTGCCATCGCTGAACAACATGCGATCAACTTGATGGCGGCCAAGGAAATGGCTCATGGAGAGCTGTTGGTGCACAATGTTGTGCTACGCACGGGGTCCTGCTCAAGAAGTTCTGCGGCGCGGTGGCAAGGGAGGTGGTGTGGCGAGGGCTCACTTCGAGAAGCGGTCATCAAGGGCGCAGTGCGCAAACAGCAGGTGTGGAGCGCACGCGCCCCCAAGCAGCCGCCTCCGCCCCCGCCGCCGCCACAAAGGCCGAGGCTCGACGAAACTTTGTTGCTCATATGAGCCCCGAGGCAGAACCTGCCGCCTCCACCGCAGCCTCCGCAAAGTGCGGATTGGCGACGCGTGGAGAGCCGCTGTTCGGCGAAACAAAGGATGAAGTCGAATCCTTTTTTGGCTTTGATTTACGCGGAACTGAGAAAGGATTGATGAACCGCAACCGAGCGGTAGCAGCCAGAAGTGAAGCTCTATAAAACCCACACAAGACAGACGCAGGACAATAGTTGCATTCTTGCGCTTCGTTGCTGCGACACTTGCAATCTGTTTCAAGCGGCGACAAGCTATGGGAGACGGTGTCTGCAACAGCTTCTTGGGCCAGGAAGGCGACATGGCAGACAAGGCGCCGAGTTAAAAGCCGGCCCGGCCCAAGGACATGCTTCCTTGTGGTAGGCCAGTTCCGCGCGGGCATTTCTGTCCCAAGTGCCCGCCGCCAGCTCAGGTCATTAGCCCCACACACGCAGACGGCAACAGGTGTACCAGAACGTGCGAGAAAGCCGAGTGCAGCAATGTGAGAGCTACGTGGTCCGTTTGAAAGTGTCGCGCACACATTGCGTTTGCCCTGCGTTGCCTCAGGGTCCGGGGGAAGATAGATCGGACTGGGCGTGTTTCGCTCGCTATGTTTCCCACCCCTTGACAAAAGTTTACCATATGTAGTCATGTGCGTACGTAATGAATCTGAAACAAGATACTCTACATGTATGCGTACATGCGTCTAAATACATCAGATCTACACTGTTCACTCAGATTGTGTGCGAGGTGTGTAACGACATCTACGGCCCCATGTACGTGAACCACGCGGATGGCAGCCGCAGCATCGAGTCGCCTTTCCAGCTTACTGAGGAGACATGGCGCAAGTTTTGCAAGCTTTCGAGGATGAACACGGTGTCTCCTCCGAAACTATGCTACATCTCATTGCAGACAAAATGTGAAACAGAATCTGAACGTCATTCTAATGGATCCGTTTCAGCAGATGGGCATGCTGAGCAGTGGTCCGTGTTAAAATTGAAGCCCGGCAAAAACAACAAGACTTGTGGAAGGCATTGGCTGGCTAACCGCGAGGACCTCCCCAACAACAACCCCGGAGCCCTTTCCGAACCCTAGCCCAGAGCCATTCCGGAGCTTATTTTTGTTGGCTGAGGCCCCATGGCCTTCAACTGTTCGGGAACAAGCAATTTGTTGCATTTTCTTATGCCCCTTCTGCTAGCCTATGTTCAAGTGCCGTTGGGGCCCACTGCAATGACATGCAAAGTTACCCTCTACAGGGTCGTCGGGAAGCAAACTCTTGAAGTACGTTTGAGAACCCGTCAAATTTCAAGTATTTCTTTTGTTAGGGTCTGCGGTGTGCGAGTAAGTTGCCTCTTTTCCGATTTCACTTTTCGCCCGCTTGCCTGCTGAGTTGCCAAACTTGAAGCTGCTTGTTCCAGGAGTTTCCGGGATCCCAGCCACACGCCACACAGTTTGAAGGTTCTGTGCGCACCGAAAAAGGATGCATGGATGCAAATAGGAGGTTCATTCTCTCTGCATCAGCTCTGTCCAACAGGGGTGTATACACTTTTGTTTATGTCCTTTGATTCTTTGGTAGCCAAGCAGCTTTCTCATGGGGCGATACTTCTGTGGGGAGATGGTGTGAACAACAGCAAGCGGAACATTGGGCTAGATGATGGCAGGCACCTTGGATGATCTTTGAACAATGGATTTTTCCCCTGACCTTGCTGTTCTTGGGCAACCACTTGTTTGAGGAGATACATGCTCATTAAGAAAGGGGGGGCATGAACAACAAGCCTCACAAGGGGCCCATTTGCCCGAAGCGTGTGTGTGTGTGTGTGTGTGTGTGTGTGAAAGGGTAGATACAAACGCCTCTGAAATCCAGGGCTGCACCGGTCCGGATCCATGCGATCGAGCTCGCTAGGAGCTCTTTTCCCGGTGGCAGAAGTTGGCGGAGGTCATGATCCAGGAGCCCCGGCACAGCACACTGTGGATGGTTGCGATATCGGTTCGCACACCATAACGTTCATTGGTTTTTACAGGGGAAATTCGTGCAGGATTTTGTCCGCCCACAGTATGTTTCATTGGGAGCCTTGTTTGGATGGTCCAGGCGATGTTGACCCAGGGCCAAAGAATCCGTTTCATGAAGACGGGTGTCCCATTTGGCAGGAATCCGAATCACCCTGTGAGGGTCAAACATGATTTCGGGTTCCTCTTGAGGTATGCCGACCTTTGTGCCCAACGGGGTGAATGAGTGCCAACCCCATGGGTTCCTTTGCTGTACATATCTTTGTTGCATTTCGCCAAGGGATGTTAGGACTGAATATATTTTTGCCAACTACTGGGTTTTCCGTATTAAACCACTAAAAGTTCACTTTTGGCAGGGGAGCAGAAAGCAACCCAGATATGGTTGTGCTGTAGCACAAGCAATCGAACCCGTGTAGAATTATTTAAGCTGGTCCCCTGAAAGGATAGAAATAACCTTGGCCCCAAAGGACACCTAACGAAGGCAGACCGGCTCGAACAAACAAAGAAGTTCTGGAGCCCGCCTTTCCGGGTAACTACCCAATCACCCTTTCGGGGCCAAATGCAGCATCCCTCCTCGCGACATGTGACTCGAGGAGGGAGGCGAGCGATTAGCGCTGGTCTTCCTGGACATCCTGGAGCACAAGAAGCACAAGGCGGTGCCTAGCTCACATGGCCTACTCCTGCTGGCCGTTTTTGTGCGGCTTCCTTTTTTTTCTTTCTCGGGTTTAAGCAAAGCTGAGAAAAGCGCTTTGTAACCACGTTAGAGACAAAGGCAACGGGTGAGACGGGTGCTCACTTGGCCGAATTCACCTTTTGACCTTTCCCCGTGTGGGGTGTCCATTTTGAGTGGGCCCAAAAGGTGATCACCTTTTATTGCTGGGTCCCTACGGGGCAATTGAGTAAGGGCCTAGAATCCCAAAATCCGACAATCAGAGTGGCGTCGCGGGGTACCTAACAATCAAAAAAACAACTTTAGGTATGCTCCGTTGCACTACTTTGACGAGTGATTCCACCGATTAGGGTATTATGAATGAAACGAGCGTTTCTCTCCGTGACGTAGGTCATTTATCGGGCAATACATTTTTTGTTTCAGGTTTCGGTGTAGACTTTGCAGCACGGTGACTTCTGAGCAGCTCCACCAATAAGTTTGTTCAAGTTGGGTCGACATGTGTTTTTTCTCCGCAGTAGTGCCCTTCTGCAACCATTCTGGTTGAACGGCGGCTTCCCTGCAGAATCAACTACTGACAGGTACTGCACCATTATGTTTTTTTTCAACGACATCCACTGGAGCTTTGGGTTCCCTCAACGGGAGTTTGCCACTACTCGAAGGATGGCCTAGGTTTGGGTTGTTGCAAGTTTTATTTTGTTTGTCTCCTTATGGGATGCCTCACAGGGTGGCTTGCTATTGGTAATTCCATGCTTGGTCGCCTTTTATTTGGCTGTAAGTGGGGTTAGAAACCTCCTAAGGTTACTGGCAGTGGTGATTTGTCTGGACTTCTCTTGGGGAACTTCGCTTCGATCCCTTTTCGGGCCTCACGCAGAGTGGCTTGCGAGGGTTCTGAAGGCCTGCGCTCGAACGCTTTGAGATGTTTGCCGCGGTTGCGACCCAAAACGAGTTGCCATTTTCCGACCAACCCTTTGAGGTCTCCTTCGAAACTAGTTTGCATTTAGGGCAAAACAGAGACAGAGCACATACTGTACGGGCAACCGGTATGTGTGACCTTTGACCTTGCAAGCAGCCAGTCAAATCCTGGCAAAGCATTATGTTCTTCTAGGCCAACGGCATCAGTTGCGGTCCAACATCGCAACGGCGGCTTTCTGTTCTGTTTCCCTGTCAAATCAGCAAAAATCTGGGCACCAAGCCTCACTGACCATATGCTGGACTGGGTACTTGTTCTTAGGCTGGTTATAAGGTTGTTTCTCAAAATTCGGGACCCCTCGGGTAGGTGGATTCCTTTGGGTTTCCTATGAAAACCGTCCAAGAGGGGTTCCCTATTTGAGAATCCTTTGCAGGGAAATGAAAAGGTGATATAACCGCATGTCCCTGGCTGGCATTGGGTTCGAAGAATGTTAGTCGTTTGAACTTTCCGCCCAAAGGCGCGCTCTAAAGGTGGCTGGGAAGTCCCAATACGTACGCATTCAACGCGTACTTGCGTTGTGTACCAGGGGGTGATGCCAGGAGTTCCTACTTATATGTGCACATACGCATACGTATATGTATATGTATATGTATATATTATATGTATATACATATATTATATATACACATACATATACATATACATATATGTTATACATGTATCGTCAAGCGCACAGCGCTAGACGCCTCACGTTTGCGCTGCTTCAAGCTGCGTTCGTCATGGAGCAGGCGTCCTCATCGTTGATGTTTGGCCACCCACGAGCGGAAGCCAAAGATCTCGTACCGATGCCTGACGTTCCGCATCAACACCTGGGCACGTGGCACGGTCGTAGAAAGTGGAATCTCGGCCCCGATGTTTGTGACATGGGATTCTTGTCCAAGTAGTATTCATAAGAATGGAGACTCCCCGTTCATCACAAGGGCTAGAGTTCCACATGCATCGTTTTTGAGAGCTGGAACCAGCTCCGGAAATCCCGAAGAGACCGTTTTGGGCCCCTTTTGGCCATGCTCACTTGGCCAAGTCAAGCTCGTAAGCCAATGTGCGAATCAGAACCTCTGGTTGAGCTTGAACATCTCTATCGCGGGGCCGCAAATTGGGCTGGTTTGCCCCTTTTTGCAGTGAACCCCAGTTGTCCCCATAGTTGGTTGCCCATTGCCCGGTAGGGTGGGAAACCCTTGGATACCTTTGCAGGTACATGGATCCTTCAGCTGGCATTTGGATGTAACTCGCTGTCCGGCTTGCGAAAGCCAGGCGGCTCAAAACGAGGGTCGCGGATTGCCGGAGCCTTGGTAGCTGTGGTTCTACTACCGGTTTTTCCCTGAGTTGCAGAACTGTATATTTTATTGGTAAGTAATAAGTTATTTCTTTTGTAGATCCACTCAGGACTTGACAGACCATCTTGGTAGAACCAGGACTTGGCTGCACATTTCCGAACTTGATTGCGGTCTTCCAGGGTCTGCAAGGTACGCTTCCCCGATGCTCCCAGGTTGACCCCGGGGCGCCAGTTCTGCTTACAAGCGTTCCTAGAAGTCATTCGAACAGCGGTGGAACCCCGTGGTTTACTGTGCTTTCTATGTTTCCCCCTTTTTTTTCCCCCCGCGGGCACCCGTTTTGGTATTTTTCGACCCTAACCGAAGGGGCTCCCTTCTCGGGAGCAGGCGTGGGAAACCCACCAAAGGGAGAAAGGGTGCGGAACAACTGAGCTACAGGGAGAGTTGATTGACAACCCCCTGTTTTGAACCATCCAGTTCCCCCGCAACGAATAGAACAAAGGACAGCTGGAGGGGAAAGGGCCAACTGGGTAGCCGGGCCAAGTATAAACTTTGTGATACCTCGTTGAGGATTAGACAGGGAACAGGTACAGTTCGGTGAGCGATGGCGCACGTCCGCAGCTTGAGTTTCGCGGTCCCCATTTCTCCAAGGGAATCGTTGCACTTTTCGGAGGACAAACGCTTAGTGGCAATGAACAACATTTAGACTGGACTCACCCATCAAGTAAAGCTGCTTTTTGGGGGAAGCCCCTCAAGAGCAATAGCAACCCTGGAATCATAAGCCCTTGGTTGATCGCGGTTGATCGGGGACTGTCCCATTTCAGGCTAATGTATAACGGGGTGGGGAACACCCCGTTTTAGAGTTTCAGAATCCGGGGTGTTCCCATTTTCTAGCCATTGCCCCCAAAGCTGATCATCCTTTTGTTCAGGTCCATTGAGATTGGGAGCCTCCATGAATCATGAAGCGTTAAAGATGAGCTGCGCCCTTGAGCTCCGGGCAAAGGGGAAATGTGTTTGAGTTGCCCACGTTCTGTGTGTTTGTTTGTTTTTTTCTTCTGCAACTCACGTACCCGTTAATTGGTGCAGATGTTTGCGGGGTTGAACCCTCGCGCCAATGCCAAATCAGGAAGCCACCAAACCAAGCCACCAATCAGGGGTAAGGAGAGGTAATTGTCCTGCTTGGTTCCTTTTTGGGGCTACAAGCAGGGTTACAAGCCAAGCAACCTCAATTTAGGAGGCTTACAACCCCATCTATAGCCAAGCGCCGACCAAGTATGGAATTGCCAAGCCACCACGTGAAGCAATCCTCCAACCTCCAATCCACCACTTCAAACCACCTTTTCCGATGTCAAGTAGTTGTACTTTACAAGCATCTTGTAAAGTGCAACAACTTAAAGCTCGGAATCGGGTGGTTTGAAGAGGTGGTTTGGAGGTTTTGGGTTGCAGTTCAAGATGTTTTACCGGTCGAAGCTGTATTCCAACACGCCCAGCAACACCTCCCTGGGTGGGCAGCCTCAGGCTGCCGCCCTTGTTGGACTCGGTGCCGCCGGCGTGGGGACCCCGAGGCTGCCTGAGGCTTTCCGGTGACACGGGCCGTCGCTGGAGCAGTGTGGAAAGCCAAGGGAAGCGCCCGGAGATGAGAAATGTTTCTCAGTTGTTCAAAGCCGACCTTTTTACCTTTTGGTTTTCCCTTTTTGGTCTATTTTTAGTAGAGGTCCCAAAAGGCTAACCTTTTATTTGCAGGTCCTTTGGGCAAGTGAGGTTTGGTTGCTGTAGCTGCAGAGCCTTCTTATCCATGGTTTTCAGTTTGGGGTAGACGAAATATTGGACGAAGTCGGAAGAGAGGTCAGTTTCTGTAAGTTGAAAGGGAAGCTTTCTTTTTTTTCCATTCGTTGGAGGGGGGGAGCCCTTTGAAATCAACTACTTACCAGACAAAACGAGTGCGATTCCTTCTTCCCCGTGGCCATCGGGGGTTGGACCCGTTTGCCATGAGAAGTCTGTGTTGGGGTAGTCAAACTAATGAAGCCCTGGTCTACCGTTATTTTGATGGGCTCACGGCGCGAAAATGTTCCGCATCTCTCCGCACCATTCTGGAATCGACCCTAAAGCGATTGCCTTTTTAGTAAGGTGGATGCCCTACATATATTGCCATTGCCGGCAACAAGGGAAACTCTGGAAATGTCCATGGTTTGTGGTTGGTTTACATGCAATATTTAGGGCATCCACCGTACGGTTGGTTGCAACTTGGGCCCTTTGAAGGTGCCCCTGTCCGGGAAATTGATTCGTTCAAGCAATTTGCTACCGGGAAGGAAATTCGTGTTTGGGAAGGCTTTTAGTGGCATTGCAGAGGGGGCATTTCCTGTAGCCCCGCGGTTGCCTGTTGGTTTCAATGGGAAGTTGTTGCAAAAAAACTGCTTGGTATGCGTCGAAGCAGCCGGCTCCAATTGGTTGAAGGTGTTTTAGAATAGACACAAAAGCCGCCATTGCTCGCCCTTTGCTCATTGGGGCACATTCGCCTGGGCTTTGGATTTTTCTGCGAGCCCACGCATACTCCACCCATGTTTTTTTTTGTCGGGGCTTTCCTCATTTCAGGCAACCATTAACTTATTGGTGGTTTGGATTCGTGGTTTGGGGACCGGATCAGAACTGTAACTACAAGTTGGATGGTTGAATTTCTGGGTCGAACCAACGCATTCCCTGCCTATGGAACGGAAATGCGTGCCTCAAAATGGTAAGCAGATGCCTTCACAAATATCCATGTGCCTTCCGCCATCTTCCGTCCCTTTGTACTCTCAGCTGGTCAAAGTTAAGCCGATTTTGCCGGGAGCGAAATTGGTATCTTGGCAACTTATATGTGGTTTGGTCGGTTGACATATTCGGACTTGTCTATGTTCCATCTGAATGGAGATGGGGGACTCATCAAATTTCCAGACCCACTGACTTCCGATGTCCACCATTTCACTGTTTCTGGGTGCTATTCAAGTCAAAGTTGATGACTTGGTTTTTGATGGTAAAAGATGGGCCTGTTTGGACTGGTGATTTAGCTGCTAAACAAGTGAATGAGTGGTTCAATGTGCCTTGGAATGATGTGTAGAATATGGCCCGTCAGTGTTTGTCAAAGCGCCCCGACAACAGCTTGTAATACAATGTAGACCATAGATACAACCCAAGTGCGATCTAGTTTCTGAATTCCCTGTGCCATTTGAATACACACCTTGATTTATCCGCCGGAATTAAGATCAACATGGGCTCCCTTGTGGTCGCGGGTCGGGGGTTCAGTTTCCTTCTCAACAGGTCAGTCACTAAAACTCGCTGGTTCTCAGGGAAGGAGGAGGAAGTGACCCCGAGCTGAGTCATTTCTTTGCAGTTTGCTGTTTCCCTGGGAGCCCAGACGGTTTCTTCCCTAAAACATCCCTATGTCAGACAAACATCCCTATGTCAGACACACATCCCTATGTCAGACACACATCCCCATGTTGGAAAGTCCAAGTAATGACGTAAGGAGGGGCCAACAGGGGGCTCAAAAATACATCTTGACCAAACCAGCAACTGGAACCGCGCGTTTCGCCCGCGCGGGGGGTTTCACCCCCCGCGCGACTCCATCCGCGAATTTCCTCTGAGGAGCGTGGCGAGTGTTGTGGCAGGCGCTTTCCGGGAAGCTTCTGAATGGCTATACCCAGACCTGCTGGCAATATCTGGTTTCAACTTGTCTTTTTGAGGGGAAACATAAACAAATAAACGACTTTAGAGCCAAGCACCGAGAAAGGAGTGGGCTTGTTTTCATGGCCGGGGGGCTGGGTTTGTATTCCTGGGTCCCTCCGGATTTCGTCTACAAGGCGGGGGAGCTAGTGCTTAGAGTTAGGTGCTAGACTTAGAGGTTGCAGCGGGTTACAGGTCGTGAAGAATCTGCCGGGGCCGGGCACCCCCTCAGACTCCCCTGTCCAAAAACTACAAATACGTCTCGCCCTTTGCCAGTGGATGGTGTTGGCAAAAGTTGGTGTTCAGTGATTTTGCGGCATTTGTCATGTTTTCACTCCCACTGCAGGCTCTTTGGCAATGTAGACGGCAAATACAGCGTGAATGCCCATCAAAAGGGTACGTATGTTTTTGAACAACGATTACAAGCAGTAGAGAAACACATGAAACAGCGACGGAAAGTTCGCTTGATGGAACAACGATTGAACAAGAATTGACCAAGCTGAACTTCGATTGAAGAGAGCACAGAATCGGTTTCCGATCAAACAGCCAACAGTGTGTTTTTCAAGCTCGGATGCCTTTGGTTGCTTCACAAGCTTGCTCCGAGGCTCAATGTCCAAAAAGGAAACCGAAAAGGAAACCAAAAGGAAGCAAACAAGGACACTGAAAGGATGCCGAGAGCAGCCTTGCATGAAATCCGAGAAGGACCTCGAACGAATGCCAAAGGGGCCGCAAGGGCAATAGGCATCATTCGGATCTCCTTTGTGGGAACGCAAGGGGTGGGGGTGTTGTGCGTAGGAAAGGTCGGTCAGCGGAAAACCCGGAAATAGAACACCTGTTACTCCGGCCATTGTGATTGCCGAGTTGCCTTTTTTTCCAAACGCTGTGCCTTAAAAACAGTCACAGCCGCTGCCAGAAAAAACACGTCAACTGGCGACCCAGGCGGTTGGTTTCCTTTCATGGTGTCCTTTTGGATGTTTCGTTTTCTCTTGCTGGTTCTCAGTCCGGAATGAGGGAACTATCCCTATATATCATCCATCCCGGACTCCGTCATTCCCTGCCTGTCGCACCAGCAAGCTGTCCGTTTCCTCTAGGCGCCAGCTCGCCCCACACGGTGCCCGCGCCGGTGCAGGCGAAGGGAGTGGGGTTGGGGACGGAGGTCAGAAGTCAATCCATGACAAGATCCACGGATTAATGTTGACCCCGGATGAGGCCCTGTTTATTATCATGGGGGTGCTCCCTCCACTAAAGGGGGACATTTACCTGTTTTTCAACCAACAGTTTACGAATCTGGGTTCCCATGACTATTTTTTTCCTGTTGGGTTCTTTGGGTTTGGGTTGTGTGAGAATCCGCTTGCTCCTCTGCTTCATTGAGTGGGGGGGAAGCTGTGTTCTCAGGATAGCTGGAGTTGAACAGTTTTGTCAGGTAAAGCGAATGATTAGAGGAATCGGGGATGCGTTGTCTTCGACCTATTCTACAAACTTTAAATGGGCAAGATCCACAGTGGTTGCTTCGTTGAACTTCTGGGATAAATTCCAACTCTAAGTGGGCCGTTTTTGGTAAGCAGAACTGCGGAAAAACGGTTTTGAACCCCCCCCCCCCAGGCCCCTCCCTTGAAGAGCCCAGATGCCCGACCAATTGATTTGCCCATAAAGTCCAATGGGGAGGTCTAGGTTTTGGACAGTCAGGGCGGCCGGGAAACAGAAGCAAACGTTGACCGCGGCGAAGCGAGAGGCCGTTTCTTCAGGCCTCAATTGGCAGAAACCAGCACCTTCGCGGCTTCGGCCTGGCAAAGGGGTCTGCGGTCTGCGGCCTCCCGCGCGAGTTTGGTTGAACAAAGTAGCGCGAGGTCTTGCTATGTGGGTGTGGCTCAAAATTAAACAGGGGGGTTACGCGGGTTTTAGTCTTTGGTTCCATTTACCAGGGTTCCGTTTTGGTACCGGTTTTTTGAGCCAAAGCCATGTTATTCTCAGACAGGACAACTAAAAGGGAAGGGGTATGTGGTTGTCCCAGACCCTCTATGTGGCACCCAGCGAGCCACAATCAAAACCTGGGAAGAAGGTTGGCGGACAGTCCCAACCAGAAATACATTGGCGTGGCTAGCCGCCCGTTCGATACCAGCTTTTGAGTACGTCTCAACTTCCCCCACCCCCCACAGTTTAATCGGAGGGGGTTCCCTTGACATACCCACTTCAACAGGGTCCCTCTTAATCTGCTGGTTTGTATCTTAAATATGGCCATGGGTCAAAATCCCGTACCCCCAGTGAACATCCCACTAGACTAAAATGGGTGGTGCACTTACCCCAAAATGGTACCATTGGTTTTGACCCACAGCCATTTAGAGTCCTTCAGAAATTTACTTGTTCACTGTGGTGATGGTTTGCTTTGGTTCAGGTATGCTTTTTTGATACGGGATTCGTGTGTGTTGAATAGAACACAATGTTATTTTTGTTACAAGATGGCATTCTGGCCTGGAATTTAGATTGTTTGTTACGTTTCTTTGTGGGAGGGCGCTGGCGTTGACTAAGCCTGGGAGGAGCAGTCGGGAGAAACACGTTTGAGTGTTTGGCAAAAGTCCAGGAGTAGCGCGGGAGGCGCGTTTTTTCATGGTTGCTACACTATGTCATGTCTTGGGCGGGTTCCCGTAATTTGTTCAATTCCAACTTGCAGAACCAGGTGCGCTTTTTCTCATGGCCAGTTGGCTGAGAAAGGATACCAAGCAACAGGCCCCCCATTCGCGCCCAGTTGACCTGGTCCAGTCACGTAGTCAGGATGACATGGACGTGAGTTTCGCCCAATCCGACCCACGGGGTTCAAAACCCGAATGCAGAAATTGTGTACCCTTATTGAATCCAAAGCTGGCAGAGTTGTTGCGGCACGGTCTCCGAGCTTTGGGGAATCAGATACCAACACCTTACCAGTGGTGGCAAAATGCATTTGCCGCCAGGGCAAGTCTTCGCACATTTCCGCGCACGGGGACCTGGCCAGATAAGCCGCGTCCACGTCCCAAACCCTGGGTGAGGCGTTTTTTTGGATGGGGGTCCCCCTTTTTGGTGGTGGAAACGGACTTCTAGGGTGCCGGTACCTTCCCTATTCTTTCCAGGGATCCTTCTTTCTAGAAAACCTCTGGAAATCCAGGAAAAACGGCCGGTTTTTGGAAAGAATGACGGTTGAAAAGAATGGGAAATCAACCCCTAGAAAACTTGCTGGTGCGATAGGTAGGGAATGTGGTTGAATGAACCGTTGGGGATTCCCTTAAATGGAAACCACCAGTTGGATGGTTTATAGGGTTCATTCCCTCATTCCCTACTGAGCACCAGCAAGCAAAAGGACATCCATCCAGTTGAAGGAACCCGAAATCTATTTTGAGAACCCGGTGTCCGTTTGGGTATGTCTGGGATAAACCTGAACCACCTTCCAACTTTGATTGAGTGCTTGTTTATATGCAGGCTCGTTCTTGAAGTGGAACTTGGAGGGAATCGTTTCCCTGCTATCAGCATCACTTTGCAATCGCCGAATGGCAACGGACTCACCTTAGCTGTGATTTGTCCCCATGCCACAAATACAACGAAGCACCACCAGATGTTTGTCTTGAGAACGCATGACTTTGTTAGCACACGAGCGCTATACATTATTTGGATACTTCATACAGAGGTGTGGGAATTGTACTCAAGTTCATTGGTTGCACCGTCTTGCTGACGCAGAAAACGGGATCTCTTTTGACGTTGTTAGCAATTGCGCAGCTTGAGATTTACTACAATAGGGAACATGGGTATGTGTCGAAAAGTGGGAGGGGGGGCACCCCCAACATGATTGTTTCCTGGTTGTTTTCCTGGAAACCTGCCTCAAAAAGGGCACACTCAAACGACACGCAAACACCTATATATACTTACCTGGGGTTTCCCACCAGACCATTGGTATGAAGTGTAGTGCGAGGGCTCTGAATCAGGAGATGATACCTTTGTGGTTGCGCCGGTTTGGGCTGTTTGACAAGTTGAGGACTTTTGGCACCGAGGCCAGTCTCGAATGGCGACCTTGGCGTTTTCATCTTGCCACCTCCATGAAGTTCCTTCGAGGGTCCATTTCTTATTCCAGGCTGGTACATTGCCAGCACCGCTATGTGGGTGTGGGTCAAAAATGGACCCCAAGTGTTTCCCTAGTAAATGGAAACAAGGACTAAAACCTGCAGTCTCCTGGTGGTTTAATTTTGACCCGTACCCATGTGCTTGTGGGTTCGTACTCCCAAGAACTTTTGCATTTGCACACTCCCCCTGGGGAAATCATGTACGGAGGTCCCCACGTGTTGCCAGTTTTGGGTGATACGATCTGGGACCATGAGTTCGTGAGCTGACCCCTGCCAGGGGGGAAATGAGGGATTGCACCCATGAACGTCCACGAGGGGATTGAAGCAACTATTGAGAGGCTCACTCTGACGAAACTTTCCGGCTTAAAGCCCACCGCTTGGCAACTGACTTTGGACAAGTCGTGGAATCGTTAAGTAGCCGACACACCTTTGGTCTTCCACATCCCACCTAATGTCTGCAAGGCTGGGTATGTCAGCAAAATACGGGGACCCCTTCGAGATGGCAAGGGGTGTCCTTTCAGTTTACCTCTGCAGCGCTCGTTCACCGAGCCTCACAAATCACAGCACTTGGACAAATGAGCAGCGCCCCAAAAAGACGAAGGTTCAGGTATTCTTGGTCGCCCAGCAGTGCCATGTTACCAACTTTTTTGCGGGAGGGTTCCCGTACTAAAATAGACAGAAACAAGTTGGTTACCAACTTATTCTAACCTCTCTACTGGAGGACCTCGGGTCTTCTTGTTGCTGGCCACTCCACTCGAGTTGTTTTTTCCCTAACAGCTGAAAGCTTTGGGGTCTCAGCCCAGATAGGCTCCGGGGTGGTCCGGGGCGGCCCTGAGGTAAGGTTCCACGAGGGTTCCACCAGGGTTCCAACCAGAGTTCCACGATGTTCTGCGCTAAAACTGCGGGTGGTGCGAGCACTAAAAAGAGCACCGCATGCTGGGGATATCACCTGAGCTTTTTTAAAACAATGATGTTCCCCCTGTTGGTTTTAAAGGTAGTCTATCAGTATGGAACATATTGTTTTCTTTTATTGCGGTGGACTTAAGCAAATTGAACAGCCTTTTTTTCTTCCAGGGGACTTCAGCCAATGGAGGATTACACTAAGCCTGGGGTTGTATGATGTTGCACTGCTTCCCGGGGCAAGTGAATGAGGTTGTGGGGTACTGCAAGCCTGGGGCGTTTTTTTTTTTTTTCTTTTCCCCCCCGCTCTGAGGACATCTCAAGTGAGGTTGCTCCATGGGCTCCACAGGCGAATCGAGCCACGTTTCGTCGTTCGGCATCCAATGCCTGGGGCTGCAGCTCTGCCAGCAGCCACTTGGGTCCAGACTGACAGCCGGAAGGTTTTCAGACCGTAAATGGCTGGTCAAAAAAACATACCCCAAATGGCAACGGTAAGTGGAAACATGGACCAAGACTTGCGGATATCCTGGTGGTTTAATTTTGACCCATAGCCAAATGGGTCACCAGGTCTTTCAAAAGGTCCTGGGAGCTTCCATGTTAGTGTGGGGGAGGGTGGCGCATTTGTACCTGATGTGCCCTTGTGTGAGCCATTTGAGGTGCCAAGTGACAACCAACCTTGGAGGGTGCTGGTTTCTAAGTCAACATAGAGCTTTTCCCAGGACCCCCCCCCCAAGCATACCGCCAAATAGTTGTGCTTTTGGGGCGTTTGTTGGGGGCTTCCCCTTCAGGGTAGCTGGAACCGGAATAACCTTTGAAGAGTTCACATGGGATTTGAACCAGTACAGTTGGGTGAAAGATGGCGCTTCTCCAATTCGATATCATCTTAAAGCATGTGTGGGCCTGATATGTGGGGGCGCCTTCCTTCCTTTTCTGCACCTGTTGGGACATGTTGGTGTTTTTGATCTTGTTCTTGCATGGCGAAAAGGACATCCGGGGCCTCCTCCAAAATATTGCTGGACTTTTACGGTAGACCAAGCACAGACCTGACTCTGAAAATATGTCTTTTGTGTACCCCAGATTGGGGCCAAGAAACTTTCATGATTTGTCCGAGTTGTTTGTCCGAGGCTCATAGTTGCAAGAGCCGACATCTGCCCCCTCCGATTTTTGTGGAAGCAAGCCTGCAGAAATGGCATTTGGTCAACCATGCCCCTACCCCGCCTCCCGCTTGCCGACTCGTGGATGGCGCCCACCAGCGTTACAAACATCTCCCGGTATGAGTCGCCAAGACTTGCACGCCGAAACCAGCCTTGAACCACCCAATGCCGATTGGACAAAAAACAGGAAATTGAATTTCTGGGAGACTACTAAAGTGACATTCTTAAATTTACTCTCCAAACGGTGGCTTGAAGAGGTTCCCCAGCCGCAAAATGGAAATTTTGAGAGCCCCCTCAAAACGCACCGACTTTGAGAGTCCAGTATGAGGTTGTTTTGTGGGAACCCCTTTCTCGCGTCAAGCCGAAGCCAACTTGTTGGATCACAATCCACGTTTTGACACATACCTATGTGCTGTTGCCTTTGCATGTGTATGGTCAGCCCTGTTTTGTGTCCTTGACCCTGGCCTCTTTTTTGCCCACCTGGTAGAACCTTGGTTGAGTATTGTCTGCTGTGTTTGAAAGAAAACCAACTGGATAACTTTTGGACTTGTCAACTTGTGGCGCGATGCGTATCTTAAAGCCTGAGTGTTGAGAACCAACAAGCGCAAGCCGGGGTGCGTTATATGAATCCCAAGATCCTCTGCAGTGAACCCCAAGCAATATGCGCAGCCGCGATTTTGGTTTGGTTTCGGGTAGACGGTGCAGCCAAGTGACGATAGCCACTCGCCTTTTTATTGGTCCGCTAACATGAATCCTATGAGGGGGCACAGTTGAAATGGAAATTGTGTTCCAGGACCCCCTTGTGAGGTTGTTTGTGGATGGGAGGGTACATCCTCGATGGAGTTGAGATGTTGCCAGGATTCCAGAGTTCTGGCCAAACCACATCAATCAAAACTGTGGGCATGTCAAGAAGTATGTAGAAAAGTTCCTGGAATTTGCAGTCCAGTCAACTGTCCTTCGGCCTTGCTTGTTAAAAGGGGCTGAGATCATGACTTACCCTCTTTGCAACGGGC